CCGCCTGGGCAACCGCCGAAACCCCGGGCGCGGGGGGGGGGCAGAGGCCTTAGAGGGTCTTCTCTTCCTTGCAAGGAATCCAGTGGAAAGATAATAGGATTAGCTACGGTAGTTTTGGCTCTTCGACCACCTGGGGCACCTGAGCCGCAACCTTTGCACCCTGGCAAACATCCGCCTTATGTGTAGGACACAAACAAATCCTGCGTGACACACACATATATGCCATGGCTCGTTGCCAGTGCTTGCCACGAGGCGATGGTCTTTCGAGGGAACGCTGCAACATATTTGAACGAGGCCAGCATTAACAGCATGCTGGTCCAACCCTGACCTGAACTTGTGTGTTGTTGGTACGACATGAAGGGATATCACACGTGGCTTTACCCCACATAAAAATGTAATGTGGGTATGTGCTGGGTTGCAAAGTTGAGACTGTGTATAATATGCACATACACAGCCACTGTAGCTCTTTGATATACACTATACACATAAACCCTTACTAATATGTAATAAGGCCTTTACAGTAATGACATACAGTGCACAGGGAGAGTGAAATATTCAAGTCCTGCAGTAGTGCTCTCTGGGTTAAAATTTTATACAGTATCTTACAATGCCACAGACTAGAGATTTTATTATATGAAGCAGTATACAGCATCAATAATGAGAATAATAACACCCATGGTCAAATAGTCAACATACTGCACTAGGTTCTATACTTTACTAATATACAAATAAGACGATGCTGCTCCCTAGAATTGCATGGGTTCAAGCAACATGGCTTTGCTAATACATGGATTTTTTTTCAATAAATAAATAAGTATTCCAATAAATAATAAATACTGTGCTGCGTGGCCTGAGAAAAGTGGATCTCAGACTTCCTGAGGTCCCTGATCTTGGCAGTTAGGTGGCATGCAGTCTGATCTTGGTGGCCCAGCTAACCCCCTCTTCTGGCATGCTTGCTCCATATGGTGGTTTAGGAAGGCGCTGGGCCATGCTGTATAGTTAGCACACCAAACTCATCTGTGTATGTGTGTGTGAGAGAGAGAGAGACAGAGAGAATCAATCAACTTGTTTATGCTTTGTGGCCATGTTTGGAAGAGCATAAGAGTTATACAGTACACGGATTTTGAACAACACAGGGGCCCAGTGCTCCTAACCCCAGTGTTGCTGAAGAGCATTCACTTTCTATAATTCAGATTAGACCATATTTTATATAAAATCATAATTTTTCCTCTTATTAACTGCCAGTTGAAAAAACACAGCATAGTAAGCGTTATGATAGCATCAGAGTATAAATAAATAAAACTACTCCGCCAAAAAAGACAATCCCTACAATTAGTTGCCACTGTGTTTAATGTATTATGAGATAATAATAATAATCATTGTCTTAGAACTGCAGAACTGGAAGGGACTCTACGGATCATCAAGTCAAGCAGGCACAGTGGGGAATTGAACTACCCAACCTCTGATTCTGCAGTCAGATGCCCAAACCACTGAGCTATCTAGCAATTCAAGATTTTTAGATCCTTAAAATCTGTCTCATAATCCATTTTTGTTATGTATATTACCCACAATGCTGTATATACACTATATCTACTGCTTTGCAAGCAACATGCGATATAGGTCTCACCATAATGAGCACCAGCCACCACTGCTCCAATCTCATTTATCCCACACCAGCATGGGCAGTGCTGCAGCAGTATAGCACCATCTGGAGAGCCAAAGCTCCCCACCCCTGTCATATACAAAGAACATGCGAACACAAGACCTATAGCAAAGTGCAAGAAACACAGGGCAAATTCTGTCTGGCATCCCCAGCAATGGTCAGAGTGCAAGAGTCAGTATTCATTTGTTTGTTTGTTTATATTCCGCCCATCTGGTCAATTGACCACTCTGGGCAGCTAACAACACTTAGAAAATAAAACCATTCAAATACAACATCAGTGTACAACATCAATAATCAATTGTTCAAAATGGAAAGAAAAATTGTTCAAAATGGAAGGAAAGAAAAAAAAGAATAAATCAAATCATGACTTGGAGGGAAGGCCTGCTTAAACAGCCAAGTTTTCAGTTGGCTTTTGAAAATGCCCAGCGAAGGGGCCATACGAATCTCAGGAGGGAGTTTATTCCAAAGGTGAGGAGCCACTGCCGAGAAGGCCCGGTCACATACTCCCTCAGTTCCTCTTGGATGTGAGCCAGTGTGCATAGATTTCATGAAATGACTTGGTGATATGTCACATGACCTATCCCTTCCTAATAGTGTAGACAAATATATCACATGAGTGAGGCTTTATTGCATTCAAGTGTACATGTGTAAACTTTTTTACACTAATTTTGTACATAATTTATTTTGTTCAGGAGTAACTACCACAAAACACAGGTTCCCTTCTGAATGATAAGCAAGCAGTAAGATGATACTGCACACATTATACACACACACAGTACAGAGATGAGAAGACTTAAACTTTTATGTCCACCATATTCCATGAGTTAATCCTATACTTTAAGTCAGTGTGAACTGGGACGTGCACACTGGAAGCACATTATGTGTGCCAATAAAGTGTACACTAATATTTTCTTAAGTATATTTACTTAAGAAAATATTAGTGTACACTTTATTTACTTATTTATAGATTGACATGATTAATATAAATTAATATATCCCTCCTGCCATATCTTAATTTCATATACTTTTGCCATCTTGGATTTATAATATATGCTTATTGGTTTTATTGTTTTTAAATTTGTAAACCGCCCAGAGTAGACCTTTGGTCTAGATGGGCGGGATAGAAATCTAATAAATAAATAAAATAAAATAAAATAAAAAAACCATTTAAAAAAATAAGCAAGTCATCTTTTGTTCAGTGTGGTTTACAGTATGGTGTGTGTGCACAGGATTACGCACACACTGCAATTCAGTGAAATTTAAATTGTTCTAGAAACAGTGATGCAATCATTTCAAATCTCTGCATCTTACAAGTAAAAGAAAATGATATGAATGCAGACACAGAGTTGAAAAATGGCACTAGAAACATGACATTTTTCACCCACCAGCAGCCTAAAAATGATTAAATGTCTAGTCAGACTTTTCATCAGATTGCTAAGATCAGAGAGATAATACTCCCACCTCAGTCAGTTTTTTTCTCTTTGGCGTAAAGAAAACTTTATATTTTTAAATAAATAAATTAAAGGGGAGTATTACACTTTCAAGTTTGACATAGTTGTTTTTCAGAGAGAGAGAGAGAGAGAAGGCATTTCCTCAGTAATTAATAGTTACAGAAATGTATCTTGAAATGTATTAAAGGGTTGACATTTAAATAAAAACCTACCAACCAAGCTTTGCTTTTAATTTATCAACAACAACAAATGCATGTTTAGACACCAAAGACGGAAAGTGTTGCTTGAGGCTAAGTCTGTGATCTTCATTTCAAGAAACACTTAAAATATACAAGGGTGTGTTATGCTAAGTACAGTAACTCTAAACAATATCTGTTAATGGGGGATAAAATACCATTAAGACTTTTCCCCTGGCAGAATGTAGTATCACTATTTTTGAAATATGCAAACTGGGCGGGTTTTTGTTTTGTTCTTGCAAATAAAACAAAAAAAAAATTAAACATGGAAAATGTTGTTCCCCCGACAGCTGTAGCATAATGATTTATTTCCTATAATTATAACCCCAGATTTTCTCCAAGGGGCTTAAGGCGTTCTCTTCACCACTTTTATTCTCACAGCCTGGGGAGGCAGGTTAGTCTAAAGTAGGAACTACATGTTTCAAATAATCTTCAGCAAGTTTTGTGTTGTTTTTTACTGTGGGTTATGCAAAAACAGGCAGTACACAGAGCAGTCCCTGGCCTACAGACTGGCTAGCGCTGGGAGGTTTCCTGCTGCTACTGACAGCACCAGGGTTAGGGTGTCCTCACTCGCTTGCCGTGCAGAGAAAAAAGAACCGCTGGAGCTGACCCCCAACCCCTAGCAAAAACAGCATTGCCAGCCAGCCGGTGCCATGATCCCCCAGCAATGCTGTTCTTCTTTCGGGGCAGTTCCAGTGGCTCTGATTTTGTCACATGTCAAGCCCCGACCCTGGCGCTGTCAGTAGGTGAAACTTCCCAGCACTGGCCTCCTGGGACAGAAGCTTTATGTGGTTTAGATATTGTGCCAATAAACACTTTTGAAAACCACACCAAGACCTGCATCATGTGAAACAACTGAAGTCACTGCAAAGCAACTTCCAGTTGCAGTCTGAGAAACATTGACTGGCTAAGTCACCCCAAGAGCTCAAAAGCAAAAATATGAGCTCAAGTCTCTCTAGTCCAAAACCCAACCAATGTGCACAGTAATTGTGTAAAGCAATCCTATGACATGGGGCACCTTCCTAGGTATATGTTCACAAGATTACAGCACAAATAAGGCAATGAAATTCAAACTGCTATAGCCATGGTGAAGGACTGTTCAGAAATCATTGCGCCCATAATGACTCAGAAGTGAGTGGATGGAGGCCCAAATAGTTGAAATGTAGCCATAAACGGTGGCCTACACATTGCTGTGCAGAACACACATTATAGTGTGTTTCTCTTAAATTAAAATATGCATTTTATTGATTTCAGACATAAAACAGATACGGCAATCAACAGAAAACTAAAAAAAAAGAAATATATGTTGGTCCAAACATTCATTAACGAGCTACAATCTCTCGTGTTTTTCGGACATTATTTGCTTGTTTGCTATCATAAACATTGTATAAAAAGGATACTATAGAAACAATATATTTCTTACAGGTAAGTATATATGGAATAAACATTGTGAGGGATAAT